AAGAAAGGAAAACACTTAAGAAAATGACTGGATATTTTAGCTTTAGGTTCTAAACAGTAGAGATTACAGAAACATTTGTTTAGTTCACAGTGGAAGATCCATTTATCTATATGTACATTTTCAAACCAATACACCAACTGAAACTTAGTTATCATTTGAAATGTATAGTCCTCCAAATTCTGCAATGCATTTCAACAAGAATTAATAAATAGTGTATTAAGAAAAAGTCTGTAAAATGCACATGTATTCATTAATACAATAACATACAAACAAATTTATTGATAAAAATAAGCAGAAGGTAAAATCTTTGAGTAGAAGTTGATTTCTGGTGACTTCATGGACATATCTGTGTAGCTTTCTTGGCCATTACATGGAAGTCATTGGCCATTACTTCTCCCAAAACTTGCCTATAAGTACTTCTATCCAACTACTAACCCATTTGAATAGCTTTCCAAATTCCAAGGCCGGCTATGGCCAACCTTCATCTGTGAGAAACTGCAAAACTGCAAATAAAAATAAGTCTGGAGAAATGTGCACAAAATATGCCTAGAACGTGTACTGAGAACATTAAAAAAAAACTTAAATTCAACCAACTGAACTTGAGATATTCACAAAAATGGGAAACTAACAGATTTGCCTATCCTAACTCTAACTTTCTTCAGAATCTCAAATGTACCAACATTAAAGATTTGGTAACTAACAAGCACATTTGAAAATCATTATGGATTTAAGGAATAGTAAACAATATAGCCAATCAATAAAACAATAAAATATTGTATTTGGCTGTTAATTTTATTATATATATATGTGTGTGTGTTGGATTTAAGGAATAGTAAACAATATAGCCAATCAATAAAACAATAAAATATTGTATTTGGCTGTTAATTTTATTATATATATATGTGTGTGTGTAACTCTAACTTTCTTCAGAATCTCAAATGTACCAACATTAAAGATTTGGTAACTAACAAGCACATTTGAAAATCATTATGGATTTAAGGAATAGTAAACAATATAGCCAATCAATAAAACAATAAAATATTGTATTTGGCTGTTAATTTTATTATATATATATGTGTGTGTGTGTGTGTGTGTGCATGTGTGTGTGTGTATATATAATATTGATATAACAATATATATAATTCAGTTAGAAACAGAATCATAGAATTAGAAGGGATCTTGAAGGTCCTTCTAACCCCAACCCCTGCCTAGGACAGGAAACCTCAGACCATTCCAGAAAAATGGTTGTCCAAACTTTGTTTTAAAACCTCCAGTGATGGAGCACCCACAACTCCAGGAGGCAGTCTGTTTCACTGCTTAATAGCACTCATGATCAGGAAATGCCTTTTTTTTTTTTTTTAAGTTTATATGTGTCTCTGCAAAGCCTCCACCCACTGGATCTTGTCCTGTCCTTAGGCACTATGGAAAATAAATCCACACCTTCTTCCCTGTCATAGCCCTTCAAATATTGGTAGGCTGCTATCAAGTCTCCCCTTAGCCTTTCTTCTTTAGGATAAACATATCTAATTCCCATAACCATTTTTCATATTTAACCTCCAAGCCCCTTACCATCCTTAGTGCCTTTCTCTGTACTCTTTCCAGTTTGTTAGCATCTTTCTTGTACTGTGGCAACCAAAACCTGACCCACTAGTCCAGATGCAGCCTTCTTCCACTTCCTCAATGTCTTTCTTATATTGTGGTGGCCAGAACTGGACACAGTATTCCAGGCGTGATCTGCCTGTGCAGCACAGAGTGGAACAATGACGCTTCCCTTTCTGGGTGGTGCATGGCTATCACACGAGATTAGATAAGTTTAAATATTAACCCTATTCAAATATTCGAAATACTTTTTAATCAGAATTTACCAAAAGTCAATACATTCTGTAAAACATTTAACAGGATTAAAATAGCTTCAGTTTTAAAAAATCAAATATGATAAAAACAAATACTGGTCGATTGGTCAGCTTAGCTTTTAATGCTTAGCTTTCAAAAGTCTGGTTTTGAATCAGTGCACCTTGTGCTAAGCGACAAAATTAAGTCCTGGCTTAATACACTGCATGAGTACAACCTTTATTTATGGCTTAGCATGTGGGCAAAACCAAAGATTATTGGCTTATTCAGTAAGCATTATTAAACTAGCCATAGCTTAATGTGATGCTGAAAGCAATCCAATGTGTTCAACTGTTGTGGTGCTGAATGAAGGTTTCCAGCACTTAATTGTCTAACATGATCATCCAGGACAACACATGTAAAAAAGGGAGGGGTTTCAATCTCATGGTCATGGGCACCATCTTGTCTTTTTTGGTAGCCCCCCCCCCAATGGGTTCTCCTGAGGTCATGGCAATCAGATAAATCATGGAACAGGTTTAATCAGGGAGGCCAGTGAAGAATGGCAAGAATTAATTTGATTTGTTTTATTTTATTCAATTAAAGAATTCATTTTTATTTTCCAGCAATTTTAAGCTGCTTATCAGTAAAATAATGCCTCAGTAGTACAATTGACACTGAAATTTTTAAAAAATTGAATTGTAAGGGAAAATGAAACTGAATAATCCTATTAAAGATTTATATTTCTACTTATAAAGTAGAAAATAACTGTAGGCCAACAGACAGAGCTCTGGTTGTATACCAGTTTCTTCATCTCATACAGATTTAAAGACTGGTCCTATACATATGAGATCCTTTTACCTATGACTATCAAAACTCTAATTTTTTTGGCTGCCATTTGTGATTGTCCAGATTGTTGCAACCCAGCTCTGTTTTTGTCTTCAGCACCCCCCTTTGTGGGGTGCCACAAGCCTCAACTCTCTCTCCCCTTTTATTCAGTATCTACATAAAACTACTGGGTGAAGTCATCTGCCAGTTTGGGGTTTGGTATCATCAGCATGTCAGTTATACCCAATTATATCTATTGAACCTGGCCTGGACAGTGAGGCTGCTGAGGTTCTGGCCCAGTGCCTGGAGGCTCTGTGGGTTTGGATGAGGAGGATCCATCTCCAACTCAGTCCTACCAAGACTGAATGGCTGTGGATGTTTGGGCCACCTAGAACTGGGGATATTCCATCTTTGACCTTGGATGAGGCAGCACTTCCCCATTCAAGAAAGTGTACAATCTGGGTGTCTTCCTGGACTCACAGAGCCTGCTCAGTGAGTAGGTAACAGCTGTAGCCAGGAAGGCCTCTGCACAGCTTCACCTGGTGCACCAGTTGTGCTCATTTCTAGATCCAAAGGCCCTTCAGAGTAACTCATGCCCTAGTCACCTCAGGGCTCAATTACTGCAATATGCTCGATGTCCCTCAAGGCCTGCCCATAGTGGAACAAGGGAATGGCCTTGAGGGACAGGAAAAAGAGCTGCTACCAAGACAATGGTCAAATAAAAGAATGAGTTCAGGGGCAGAATGGTAACCTTATAAAAATGGCACAGACAATATTGGCCTGCTTGATTTTGGTTTCCTAGACTGATATTGCCCTTGAAGACCACTCAGAAGCTTCAACTGGTCCAGAATGCAATGGTGTGAGCAATGATGGACATGCCTCAGTAGGCCTATGTGACACCTGTGCTTCATGAGTGTACTGGTTTCCAGTTTGCTTCCAGGTGCAATTCAAGATGCTGATTATGACCTATAAGGCCCTACATGACATAGGTCCTGGTTACTTGAGGGATCACCTATTTCCTGTGGTGTCAGCCCAGCTGGTTCAATCCAACAGAGTTGGTGCACTCTGGGTTCCTTTGATTAAGCAGTGCCATCTATCAGGACCCCAGAAGAATGCCTTCTCTGTCATGATGCTTGCCCTCTGGAATGAGGTTTCTCTTGATATCTGGGTGGTTCTGACCCTGATGGTGTTTGGATGGCCTTAAACACCTGGCTCTTCTCCCAGGTTTTAGGTTAGCGTGGTTGGAGCACCTTGTAGGATGCTTGTATGTTGCTATTGGCCAGATTTGCTGTCTTGTTTATTGATTAATTTAAGTGATTGAATATAGTTGTTTCTTTTTATGCTGTAAGCCACCCAGAGTTGATGGAATTGTTGAATGAATGAACAATATGACTGGGCTCATTCAGCACATTCAACCATAAGGCTCAGTTTGGAGTCTGGCAGCTCCTAAATCTAATAGAAGAAATAAATAAAGTGGTTTTGCATGATCCCATTGTTTATACAGAAATGTCCATCTTTTGTTTGTGTATGTCTCTGAGTCAGTCTTCACTCCTGACAACTACATGGAGAAGTCCATGCAGTTTTCTTGGCAACATTTCTTGAATACTCCTATCCTCTATTTTCACCACCATGACAATCCTGTGAGGTGGGTTGGGCTGAGAGAGAGGGACTGGCCCAATGTCACCCAGCCGGCTTTCATGCCTCAGGCAGGCCTAGAACTCACAGTCTCCTGATTTCTAGCCCAGTGCCTTAAACTGGTTCGTGTGTGAATCTAGCCAATTTTTATTTATTCAATAAGCTTTGGTTAAGCCTGTTTTGACTAAACAAACCAAGACCTTGCACAAAGATAGAACTAGGTCCCTGTATTTCTACAGGTGTCTCTGACTAGGTTCACATAACATTCTAAGGCATGCTTAATGAATAAATGGCCATTGGCTGAATTTTTCTCTCTCCTTTTCACACATATACACACACAAACGCACCTGTTCCAAAATCCTATTATGCAACAATTATTCATTGTTCCTTATTCAGTCAGAAAGGAGACATTATTAAACTATTCATTTTTGCTGAGGAAAGTTTAGCCATTCTTCCTAATAAAGAAATATCTGTAGCTCAATTTAAGGAAGTCAGTTTCTCTTTATTTCTGATTTCATAAAGGAAAGTAACACAAGAATGATGTTGATGGCTTCCTGTGTAGGACTGACATCATCGGCTTTTTTTTTTCACCCGTTGCAGGATTGTTTAAAATATTACCCAAACTGCTTAAAATATTACATAAACTCACAAAACCACAGACAGTGCGATAGAATGAGTCATCAAGGGGCTAGCAGTAAAGCATATTGGCACTATATAAATTTGTCCTCCTTGGATGGAAATCATCACAGACCCACAGTCTTCTCTTTTAGCACTGAGTTTGCAATAAGGATCATTATGAAGTACATCTTGATCTGTACCATCATTTTTCTGCCTTCTTTATTTGCTATCCCAATAGATCTTGGTAATGAGGGACCAAGTGCTGAAGACTCAAAACTTCTACAAGTAAGTTCCATCAAAAGTTTGTATCACTTATATGTATCACAGTGTGATTGTTATGCCGCTATCCTATGGTAGAAGTTTTAATATTTTTAAATTAATTATTTACTTATGTAATACAATTCTGTATTGTGAACAGCATGCATAGTGCGTCATTTCTGCATCTATAACCATGCCTTTTTTCCATCATGCTACTCAAGTTTATGTGTGCTGGTTTCTATGGTGGTCTCCCATCCACATGCTGACTTATCCCATGCTGTCCTAACAAAGTATTTCCATCCTGATCTGATCTTCTTGTAATTGTTTAAGTCCTTTCAATTATTGTTTAGGAAGCATATAAATATATACATATATAAAGACATTTGAACTTAACATAAGCATTTATGTAAGTGAAGCTGAACTTTCCCAAAGCACTCACAGAGATAGAGAGAGAGAAAGAGAGCTTATTTTCATGAAATCACAAGTCGTCTTCTTTCTACCTACCATCACTTGTGGTGTCAAAAGCAAAAAAAAAAAAAAGAGAGAGAGAGAGAGAGGAAAAAATCTGGGATTTAAAAAGTTGGCAAAGTTAGCAAGAGTAAGGAAGGGCAGTTGATCTCCATTAAAGGTAGAACAGCCTTCCTCTGCTTAACTTCTGATGAAAATGGGTTAAATAATCAGAACTTTAAACCTGGAAGAAATCTCAAAGATTGAGTGGTTGATGAAAGAATTCTATAGCAGCCTTCCATAATTTTTATTTTTTATTTATTTGTCACATTTATGAGACTGACATCTTCCAGGTGTTTCCATTCTACATTTCTATAAATCACCCAGCTGGCATCCTTATTAGATGAGTATATTATCTCTTCACCGCTCCTATCAATTAAAGTTTGGTTCTTGATTTACAGGATAGCCACCAGGGTAAATGAAAACAACCTGGTAGAATTTGGTGGAAAAGGACAAAAATGAGGGTGGGAAATCACCAATTGCTGTCCTTAACATCATCGACAGGGTAAATAAAGACAGCACTGTTTGTTACTCTCACGTCTGTAGCGGGATAGAGATTGCAAGTGGGGATAGCCAGTTTTACACTAGTATAATTTTCTGCCCGATCAAGGACTGGTGGGTAGTGCTTTAATTTGCTCATGAGGAAAAGCCCTGTTCAAAACATGGCACAAAAACCTGGGAAAAAACCCTAGAATTTGAAAAAGAGTAAGGATGAATGACCTAATCTAAAAAATACTATGCTATGCTATGGAATTTGATTAATCAAATAGGTGAGCAACTATGTTTGAAGATTCCCTGTAAACCAAGGAGAGGAATCAGTAATGAACAGAATAATATGAATATAGATATTCAAGGACACCCAACTGATTTCATGCCTAAGGCAGGACTACACACACACACACACACACACACACACACACAAATCAATATAAGTACAGCACATAGACTACATGTTCCCTCCCATGCATTTAGAAAAACAGCAGTTGCGTAGTACAATAAATGCATAAAACATTTATGATTTCCTTTTTTCATGATCCAGGTTTATCTTGACAAATTCTTCCCAACTTATCATAAAGATGGCCGTAGCCTGGAAGAACGACTCAGACAAATGCAGAAATTCTTCCATTTGACTGTCACAGGGAAAATGGATAAAGAAACATTAACAGTAATGAAAAAGACTCGATGTGGAGTCCCAGATGTCTCAGAAGAGAATAAAGCTGGAACAACAATCTGGAATAAAAGACAGCTCACGTACAGGTTAATTACAGCCTCAGGGGGTTTTTTTATAAAAAGAACTCATTGGTAACATTATTTCTGACATATTAATATTTTGTCATTCTCTATTGCTCAAAGGATTAATAATTACACTCCAGATCTGCCAAGATGGAAGGTAGATGAAACTATAGTAAAGGCATTCCAAGTCTGGAGCGATGTGACTCCACTGAGCTTCAGGAAAACTTCCAGACCTGCTGATATTGAAATATTTTTTGCACATGGCGGTAAGGTTGCCAATTTGATAACAACCAGCTCTCAAACATGCCTGTCCCTTTCTGAAGCATTATTCAGATTCTCTCTGCTTTCACTGATCATATTCAAAGGATTCAAGGCTAACTGGAGTAAAATCCAGACAGCGCCTTCCTTCCTAGTAGGGCTGATGCTTACATTGAAATCATTTAGGCATGGGAAATAGTAGTTCTACTCTAATCTGTATTGGTCAGACCTGATCTCAAATAGTCACCCAGCTAGAGGCTCCATTTTTTAAGAACTTCAGACAAACTGGAATAGGTTCACAGAAAGGTAGCCAGGATGATGTAAGGATTTAAAACTTTGTCCAGTGAAGGGAAATTGATGGAACTGGGAATATTTAATCTTGAGAAGAGGGAAAGGAGAGCCCTCTTCAAAAACCTGAAAGGATGTCACACAAAGTTAAAGGCAGGCAGATTCTGTTTGGCCACAAGCAGAAAAATTACTACTAATAATTATTACAATAATATAATAAATAATAATCAGTTTAACTAATTACCAAGAGAGATGGGATCCCCTCTTTCAGCAGATGTGCTCAAGCAAAGGCTACATAGCCATTCATCAGGAATTGTTTCACTGATTGAAGAGTCTTTCCCATTCAATGCTGGCTTCCTCTTCCATCCCCTCTTCAGATCATTTCACACATATATTAGCCCAGGCTTAAAAATTATGGTTGATGATTGTTGATGACTTGCAGATTATTACGCTCTGTGTGTTCTCTGTTGGGTCAAATCACTGACTATATCCAAGGGCTATCATAGCCGGGCTTTAAAAACCCAGATAACTACTAGGTGGAAGCAGAGAGTTAACATTTATTTAAGTCTTTGTGCCATCTGCTTGGATTCATGCCTCAGAATATGGGGGCCCTAAGAATCCATGACAGCTCTTCCTTCTTTTGATATCTTTCCTGCTTAAACAATGGAACCTAGGAGAAAATGAAAAATCCTTACTAAAACAGCATCTCTTAGCCATTGTATATTAGAGATGATATGGTTCTGTTTAAAAATTATATTCTTTAACAAATGAGCAACTTGGGAAAGATCCCAAAATGGTTAGTTAGTTTGGCTAACATTCCAATCTTCCTATCTCTCCTGTCTCTGGATCCATCATTCACTCCTTGACAGATGCATTGGAGATATGACTTATGAAACCTGTACCTGAGCCAGAGGTTATCACTGCCTCACTGTCACCGCTGGCACATATTCTTATGCATGATTATATGGATGGTGAAAGTCTAAAAAAAGGGATGGGTCTATATAAGGGTGTTGAAAATGGCAATGTAATGCTGCTAACCTAACATGTTATTCATGTTATGTTATATTTCAAATTTAGACCATGGTGATTATGGCCGTTTTGATGGTAGAGGAGGAATTTTGGCTCATGCTTTCTTCCCTGGATCAGGACTTGGGGGAGATACGCATTTTGATGAAGCAGAGAGATGGTCAGAGTATAACAGAGGTAAGTCACTCATTAACTGAGGTTATTTCCCATCTACTTTATAATAAAAATTACTGCCAAAACTGTTAACGTCATAAACAAAGAGTAATCAATTGCAACCTAGCAACCATCATGATAAAAGCATATTACAAGAAGCAATCAAAAACAGAAGCCAATTTAGGAAAATATCACCTGGAGAAATGCTATTTTCTGAGTGAATCTTCTAAGTCAGGAGCCATCAGGCCAAGACTTGAAAATATCTCCAAATTCCAAAATTAAAGAACTGCTAAAGATGGTGGAGGAATTCAACATTTGCAAATTCTGCAACAAAACTGCAAGCAAAAACTTAGTGGAAATCAGAATTTAGTAATCTAACAGCCTCGATATACTTCCATCATGTTTTCACTTGTCTGCTTAAGAAACATATAAAAATGTGACAATTAAAAAGAGAGAGAGAGGTTTAAAGATGTATCAATAGCTACTCATGAGGTCAGCCTGAGTATATTTGTCTGTGTGCCAATAATAAAAGTAAATGTACCCTCATTCTAATGACTATATAAATGCATCCAGACATATAGATGGATCCATATAGAAATGGCTAGCCTACAGCTGCGGAATTTCCTGGTGCCCACCCCAATTTCATCCAAGCCCAGCTGTGTTTAGCATTTTGAGAACAACTAAAAACTGGGTAGTCCTTGAAATCTAGAAATATTCCCAGTTTTAATAAAGCCTTTTACATAAGTCAGTTTGATTTGCCAAAGTATTAATTTCAAAATCTTCCAAAGTGGATTGCAATGTTCTTGGCAGCTTATTAAGGCCTGATTGGGCATGTTCATATAAAAAATCTGTCTATCCACACAGATAGAGCATGCAAGGCATGGAGGTCACATAAGAGACAGTGTACTCCTACAGAGGAACAATACCTCATGTGCCATATTTCTGTGCTACAACATATATTGCAAGTAGTGTATATAAGAATTAGCAAGAGTCCAACTCAATGTATATTTTTGAGTAAAATACTTTAGAGTTGAAATCCCCATGTTGTACCATTAATGCCTCAGGTTAAACTTCTGAAAACTGACAGGATACAGAACAGTTATATCAAGGCCCCAGGGCCACATGTGGACACCTGAAACCTTTGGTGTTGCCTGAAGACCCGGGAAATATTTGCCTCTAGATTGTAAAGTTTATGTAACTGAAGGAAAATTATATTTTATATTATACTTACATTAAATCCAATTCTATTTTTGTCCTGATCCCTGCCACACTACTCAAAAGTCAAACGGGGCACTAACCCTGGAAAAGGCATTATGTATAGCCTTGGGATATATGAGGCCATATATGGTTTCTACTAATTGACTTTTTTTTCTTCTTCTCTGTTTCAGAGACCAACCTGTTTCTTGTTGCTGCACATGAATTTGGTCATGCCTTAGGACTTACCCATTCTAATGTCGTTGGCTCTTTGATGTACCCAACATATACTTACAGAGATCCAAATTCCTTCAGACTTCCAAGTAATGACAGACGAAGAATTCAGAGATTCTATGGTAATTTCAGTATGAAGTTTTTAATTCTTATGGTGAAGTGCATTTTAACTGGTCTCCAACCTTTGGCTGTACTCGCTTTCTAATGGGTAGTGTTGTTGGCTAGAAGGTGACCATCAACTAGTACACAACAAATGCCAGTCATGAACAGACAGTTTTTATAGCCTGCTTTTTGTCATGGAACTCCAGGTGGCTTACAAAGGGAGGTTTCCCCTAGTTTTATGTCCAAAATAATGTTGTGAGATAATTAGGGCAAAGACAGAGTAAATGGATCAAAGTCACCTACTGAGGTCTATGGATGAAAGGGGACTTGAACTTAAGTTTCTTCAGTCCAAGTCCAACAATTTAGCCACTCATTGTACTGGCCATTTTTTGGTTAAGTTGTCACTGAATTAAGTTTTTGCCATACCATAATGGATGAAAAGCACTAAGAAGCTGAAGAGAGTTATAAATAGCAATTATTCCTGCTCTCAGTTTTACAATCAAAAAGGCATGGCCCATAAGGGAAAAGGGATGAGGAGAAGAATAGCTACTTGGCAACCATTTTTAAATTGCAGGTTACAGTTCAGATACTGTGATAGGATGGCTGCTGTGACAGTTGAGGAGAACTCAGAGGAACTAGTCTCACAACAGAGGTCTCTCATTTCTCCTTTTGCTCTCAGTCTTTGAGATGGCAGTTGGAAGTATCAGGAAGCAAAAGATGGGAAGTTGTGATCTGTCCAAGTAGTAGGCATTGGTGGACCAGATGAACAAATAATCTCACTTAGTATAAGAGTATATCCTACTTGGCTCAGAAGTGGGAGTTTATGGAAATCTAGAATTTCATAGCCCAGGCATACACAACATCTGGCCCTAGTGGTGTTGCTGAAATGTAACTCTCAGCATTCCTCATCAGACAACAAGGCAGCAACATTTGGAGTCCCCTTATTGCCATAGCTTATTACAGCATCCAACACAGGGAGATCACATAAGACAGCATGATACTAGCAGTGTGCCTTAAAGTCACTGCCAGCCTCTGTATATTACTCTGTCTTTAAAAATAGCCTATGGCAGTAGTCAAGGCCACTTAAAAAAAAAAAAAAAAGGACAGCGAATACTAAGAGGTCTGGATCCAGCCCTGAAGTTTATGCTCTAAAACTGATTTCTCCCATCTGGTGCAGAATTCACAGTTTTCATGAATTCCAGAAGATGCAGTCAAAGACACTTGCTGTGCAATAGGTTGGAGGGGCAGCAAATAACTCTAGAAGAATCAGACTAGCCCTAACAAATCAGAGAAGTAAGCTAATGCAGAGAAAGGGAAGAAAAGTAACCAGAAACAAAATATAACAAATGTACCATGCCATGGTACGTGTTTTTTTGTTTGTTAGTTTTTTGCTCTGTGGAGAAAACAACAACTGCATACCTATACTTAACAATATCCTTCTTTTTTCTTTCTTAGGAATAAGGAAATGAAACCATTGAAGAACCCCACTGCATTTAAATGGCATAGAAGAATTCATATTTTGTGCACATCAAAAGTGTTATTTCAACAAAATTTATAATATACTAAAAGCAGCAAACGTTTCACTGCCTGCTTGATAATGGGGAAAAACTACTGGACTAGACCTTTCTTGCAGGAGCTACGTTGGTTGTCGATTTGCTTCCTGGTGCAAATCAAGATGCAGATTAGCAGCTGTAAGGAGTGCGTTTTCTGTAAATGTCCTTCTCTTGGGAACAGTTTATCATCCAACATCAAACCAACATCAACCCTGCTGGCAATCAGGGAAGCCACCAAGATCTGGCTGTACAGACTGGGGATTAATAGAATGTCAGATTCCGTCTCTCAGTTATTACTTCTGGGATCTGGTTAATTTTTTTTCCCTTGTAATTATTTCTTGTTATTTTTGTAAGCGACTCAAGATGTTTTTGGAAGTGAGCAACTTATACATAGCTAATAAATAATCCATCCCCTTTATGTGCTGTGGTCATAGGAAGCATTTGTATTTTATCCTGTGTGTAATGAAGTAATGTGTTGCAACTGTGCATGTGGGCATCTCTATGGAAGTCTAATCAGAGCACAGCTATGTGTTGCATTTGTGTACATGTGTGCGTCTTTGTGTATGAATGAGTTTCTGCTTTCTCCTCAAGTTGTGTCTGTGTGTGTACAGGGAAGCTCAAGGTGAGTGTAATCCAGGACATCAGAGATAGAGCTCTTTTTTGGGGGGGGGGGAGATTGGGCAAAGCAATCGTTGGTTTCCCCAAGCAGGCTGACTTTCAGGTACCCTCCACATTCAAGGTGCTGTATTAGAGTATCCCAAAGGTCCTTTCCAACTTGTCTTCCTTGATTCTTTGTAACTGAGAATACCACTCAGAAAAGCGATAAGAAAAAAGAAGAAAGAGCTAGCAGGACCTCCCTAATCACATCCAAATTGGAGGCCAAGATGATTTCTGTCTAGTTATCTACTTCGCACTGAGCATGCATTAAAACCTCAAAATGTATGCAAGCAGGTAATAAGTAATAACTTTAGCTAGGCTGATTGTACTGATGTTATTTGTAAGGTATCAATATGTAATGGTACCTTTTTCTTGTTTTTTCCTATTTTATCCCAATACTTTCTTTATGGCTTGAAGGGGTTAGCAAAGTACTGCTGAGCCTGTGACATCTATTAATAGGAGAGAGAGAGAGAGTACTGATCTTGCAAGATCAGCCAATCTCAAGAGATTTGCTCATAGATGTCTACTACTAACTGCAGTCACATGAACATTCCAAGACATGCATCATACATGATACATACAAATTACTGCATGTAATTTTATCCCAATATGAAAGACATGTAGAAAAGTCACAGGGTTAGTGTCATTACAACACACATTTTGTCACTTGCCTTCCTTTCCCCATCCCACAATGATTTCAGTGTTTGTCTCACAAATTTCAGGAGTAAGATAATCAAGATCTCATGAGACTTATGAAATTTGGCCATATATCCATGTAATATATCAGTTTGCATGATAACCCTGCTGTTTGAAAAACCCTACTGTTTGAAAAAAAAAAGGTTCAGCACGATGCATTAAACAGGATGCATCTGTTTAAAAACACACTCCAGGTTTATCCCAAGGATCTTTCATCCGTTTATTTTTATTTTTTTTAACTGATTTTCCAGTTGCTTTAATTGATTGGATTGAATGTGATTTGCATACTCTTACACCAAAAGAAATCCATAAAGGTAAAAATAATATGAAATTGATGAAAGTAAAGCATACAAATATTGCTTTCAAACGAGATGTAGTTCACAAAGAATAACACTATGGGGATTTGCTCAAAAGGAGGTCAATATCTTCCTCCTAATTATTATTCCTAGACCAAAAAATAGCCCCTGCCCATCATATTACTGACCTTTATTTTACATTTATATCTGTTGCCATGAGTGCATGAATACGTTTTTCTGCAAAGGGTGATTTGTACATGGGAAGTTGTACATTATGCTTCTGCATCCTAACATATGGGCCAGGTCCAACAGAACTAACACCACGATAAAGAAATGCAAACTTGGAAGAATTAATATTACCCAAATGAGAACTCAAAAGGGTACTATGAAATGGCAAGACCAGTTTTGGGAAGCTGTTTGTCAGGGTGGAAAATGGGCATCTGTGGGGAGTCAAAAGAGTCAAGATGGCTGTCCTGCCTGTGCAAATCAAAATTCCATCACTTTTTAATAGCGTGTGTATCATATGCATGTAGAGAGGGGTAGGGCTTCTATCATGCCGTCATGCCCACCATCTTGACATTTTTTACCCTTCTGGTGCTAAGCAAGCTCCATCATAGAAGTGGTGGACTCCAACAACAAAAAAGGAGGAAATAGAAATGGATATGTTTGCCTTCTATCAGAGTGAAAAGAACACAAAAGAGCATAGTTCCTGATTGCTCATGAATTATTCGAAACTTGCTTCAGTCCTGAGATGTTCACTTACTAGCCCTGTTTACAGGATTAAAATAGAACTGAATCATGGGAGTGAAAGGTGCCCTAACTTATACACACAAAAAAGACACATTTACCTAGTGTAGAGTGGGTTAGATATAGCCACAGACAGTCCCAACTTGCCCTGGTCAGCTTCCTGGATCAACTAACTCCCTCCATGTCATATGAAGTACTTGGTAGTTAGTCAATTCTCCTCACTCCTGAGTATGAAATAATGTCTCAGAGATGAAAAGCAGAGCTTCTCCTTAGTAATTTCCAACCACCCCAATAAATGCATTGCGAGCAGTGAAAAGGGGGCAGAAATGAGAAAAGGGAAGCCTCCCCCAATTTAGTCCATGGTATACTAATTTCCAATGGTCCATGTACTTTTTTTTTTCTTCCCAAAGGGGAAAAGGTTAAAAGAAGGAGGAAGTGACAGCATCTCCAGGTACCTTTGTGATGACTACGAGAACCTAAAGATAACCCTCCTGTGTTGTGTGGGGCTGGCACACAAAGTGAGTCTATTATCTGGGAGACAGATCAGTGAATCAATTGTACCATGCAAATACAACTACTTTATATTGTAATGGTAGAGCCAGCCCATCCTATTTCCAAAATCCTTTCACGATGACTAGGAGAACCTAAAGATAACCCTCCTGTGTTGTGTGGGGCTGGCCACAAAGTGAGTCTATTATCTGGGAGACAGATCAGTGAATCAACTGTACCGTGCAAATACAACTACTTTATATTGTAATGGTAGAGCCAGCCCATCCTGTTTCCAAAATCCTTTCGTGGATTTAATAATAATCAACACCCTTTTTGCTTTCCCAACTCTTGTTTCTGACTCCACTTTGCTGTTCTGGTTGTGATGTTTTATGTTTGCCTTTTTATGGGACTTTAATATACAGTAAATGTCCTTGAGACCATTCAGGGAAAGGCAATAAACAAACAAAAAGGAATTAATTAGGGATAGTTTATTTCATTGGTTCAATACAGAGCTGATCCTCTATGAACTGAAGAGCTTTTTCTATTGGGGGAAGGAATTGGGACTCAGAAACTTCTGTGCTGGAGAACCAAAGCAAGAGAACTATTTTTGCTGATTCCTCCCCCTACTTCATCTCATGTTCTCTCCAGGGTTAAGTGGCTCCACCTGCAAAGAACTTTAAAAGCCCCATTGCACCATGGGGACCCCAGAGCATGATGCAAATTGCAGCCCTTTGTGTGAAGGAGGCCTGACTCTCACAGTGAAGAACCTTGCATCCATGAAACATCACTTGGCAGTTGTATTGTGTTGAAAGGGTAACAAGTATAATTCACCATTGTGGAATTTTAATGGCCACAGCAGTGGGATTTTAATGGCTTTGTACACTGACTTAAAGACATACAGGTCAATTAATGAAATGGTTTAGTAATCAATTAATGGTTATGTGTCTTGTCTTTCACTTTCAAAAAGAGATATAGCAGAATAGTGCAACATTATCTTCCTCTTCTTAGGTCAGTGTTGTCCAAACTTGGCCACTTTAAGATGAATGGACTTCAACTCCCAGAATT